CCTCCTCCCTGCAACAGCAATATTTATTTATTTATTTGAATCTTCCCTTCTCCTGCAAACAGGCATAGTACTTGCAGGCACTTCTTCATAACCCTGCTGTGAGGCCCCTCACCATGCTAGTGGCACTTCTCAAACACATGCCGGTTTGTCCATATACATCATGCACTGTGGTGCCCAGGAATAAATTCAGCTCTCAAAGAGGTCTGATCAGGGCAGGACACAATGTGGATACCAGGTGGCCTTACTAGACACTGTGAGTCTATTAATACATCTTATGATCGCAAACAGCAGTTTGGTTAAATAAAATAATGTATCAAAAGAGATCTCAGCAACCCCTAAAAGCCTTGCTTCTGGAAAGTTCTGAACAACACAGGAACACCTCATGATATACTGTGCACTAGCTAGCCTCCAAAGACGGCTGTCCACACTCTCCCTGTGCCCTGTGTGAGCCGCTCTCCCATGAGATGTGCAGTCCATTCCCTGGCCCCAGTGCGTCTGGGCCAGGCCAGTGGAATGTGGAGACAGTTCTGTTTAGGGACCTCAGAGTCCAGGTGTTAAAAAGGCCTGCTTTTATGCTCTTGGGAGTCCAGGGCCACATGTAAGAAGTCCAGGCCAGCCAACTAGAAAAAGAGGCCACATGGAGAGGCCCCGGGAGATGACAAAGCACTTGGAGAAAGCAATCTGATGGAGGAATGCTGAGGTAACAGGATGGCAGTGAGTAAGCCTGCTGGATCCTGGGAGGCATCCCACCCAAAGCCCCAAACACTGTGGAGCAGGGACCAGCCATCCCAGGTGTGCCCCGTCCGGATTCCCGAGTCACAGAATTGTGGGAGAAAACAAAATGGCTGTTTTAATGCATGAGGTTGAAGTGGTTTTGATGCAGAAGTAGATTAACTGAATTGAATAGATAATTGTTAGGGTGAGGAGAACAGCATACGAAATAGCCTCGCATGTCTATTTTACACACACACACACACACACACACACGTAGTGGTTATCACTGGGAGATGGGATCATGGGTAGGTTTAAATTTCATCCGTTTTTCATTTTTGTACTTGATTTTGTGACAAAAATATCCCTAATATCACATGTTTTTTACAAACACTTTACTGACTCACATTAAGCTTACCATATATATATATGTATCAACTGTGTGTGTGTGTGTGTGTGTGTACATATAAAATAAATACCTACACCTATGAGGGCAGTTTTAACATGGCTTCTCCCCCACCCCCCTGCCACCCCCAGCAGAAGGCCACCAAAGAAGGTACAGGGTTTTTGTTATATAAACAGAATACACCAAGAGCCTCTTACTCTGAAATTCTTGGCCCGTCCTACCTGGTAACCCCACTGGGGAAAGTTCCCAATTCTTAGGCTATACACTTCGGCTATTCCACTACCGCAAAGCTCCTGTTTATGTAGTTATGAAGAGCAGTTGCTATGGCAATGCAATATGACTGAATACCAGCATGTGGCTAAAATTGGTAGAAGTGCCTTTTCCAGGGTTTCCTCTGAGGATTAATCATTTTCCAAGAACTGTAGCTTTTTTTCCTCTCCTGTTACAACAACAGTGCCAGGGCACTTGTCCAGTCTTGGGACATGGATGAGATGAGGAGGAGTCAGAGAAGGACAAAGCTGATGGTTGAAAAAGAGACCCAAGACTCAAAGGAACCCTTTCCTACTAAATAGTCTGGTTTCTTTTTGACGCCTGCCTCCCCTACTGCTTTGCCACATGTGGACCCCTCTGTCCCTCCACTCCCTCCACCCACTACTCTTTTTGCCCGGCCATCTTTCAGGTTCTTCTGTCTTCTTCTGACTCCTCTCCCTTCTCTGACTCCTGAGTGTAGGCAGACTCTTGGTCCTGTTTCCCACCTTCTCATCTCTTTCCTCATGTGCTTGTTATCTGAAGTGCTTTCATTCCTGTTGTTCCCTCCTTGCTGCCTCCACACAATGATTCCAATGTCAGAGCTGGAGCCTAGCTCTCCTGCCCACTCTCTTCCCACCACCACCCCTCTGAGGCCCATAGGATACCTCACTTGGAAAGCAGTATCCTCCACAATGGGCTCTTATTTATCATTCCAGTTCTTGCCCCCAATCCTTTCCTACCACCACCACCACTTGCCCTAGGCTCCAAGTCTGTGACCTGCTTGCCATTCTCCGAAGCTACCATGATGACCTCTCTTCCCTGCTCCCCAAGCCACTTCCTCTGCCTGCAATGCTTTCCCCTCCTCCCTCCTACTAGTGTTTCTGGCATCTGGAAACCACACCTGCCTCAGGAAGCCTCCCACCAGGCTAGGCTAGTTCTCCTCCTCTGTGTTCCCCACTTCTTAGCACCTGTCATACTGAACATCATTGTTTGAGTCCCATCTATCTTTCCCTACTAGGCTGGGAGCTCTTTGAGGGCAGGGATTGTGTCTCCCTCATTGCTGGTTCCCTGCAACCTGGCGCATATGAATGAAGAAGTGGATGTGTCATCACCATCCCAAAATCAACATTCCCAAACCGCCCCCACCACCCTTGAATACTAATGTTGGCATCTGCCAAAGATTCACAGTCTTCAGGGGTATCTTTGCTGGCTTCCTTTCATTCCGCAAATGTTGGTGATACTTCTACCACAGATTTCCACAGATCAGTATTTGTTCACTGCCACAGTCCCTCCTAGCCCTGATACTCAGCTCAGACTAGATTTCAGACCCTGATCTACCTTCCTGATCTGACAGCTTCTATATTCAGGCCACCCTGCACACAGCCACCAGATTCATGGCTCTGAACTTTGCCACCTTGGTCCCAACCCACACTTTGACCCAAGGCCTCCTACTATCCCCATGCCTCCTCTGTCCTCCTCCCCACCCTCCTCTCCTTAGAGCCTAGAGGTTCTCTTCACCACCCATACATATCCCTCTCTGTGCTTCTCTCCCTTTGTTTCTGTTGTTTCTCTCCCTCCCCCACTATCTACTTACTATTCACATTTTAAACTTCTGTCCTCCATAGAGTCCACCCAGCTAAATCCTCTGTTGTGGGGTAAATTGTATCCCCTCCCCCCAAATTCATATGTTGAAGTTTTGACCCCCCACCCCAGTGCCTCAGAATATGACCTTATTTAGAAATAGCGTCATTACAGATGTAGCTAGTTAAGATGAAGTCATACTGGAATAGGGTGGGTCTAATCCAATATGACTGTGTCCATATAAAAAGGGAAATTTGGATATGGAGATACACATACACAGGGAGAATGTGGAGAGACAGGGAGAAGAGAGCCATCTATAAGCCAAGGAGAGAAGCCTAGAACACATTCTTCCCTTGCAGTCCTCAGGAGGAACCAACCCTGCTGAGACCTTGATTTTGTACTTCTAGCCTCCAGAACTGTTAGATACTTTCTGTTGTTCTAAGCCACCCAGAGTGTGGGTACTTTGTCACAGGAGCCTAGCAAACTAATACACTCCCCCATACCAATTTCCTCTAGCTTTAAATTCCCTTCTCATTTATGTATTCGGTTTAGACAGCTCTGCCAGAGGTATTTGCCTGCTGCCTTAAACCTGCCTTTTGCTTGTGTTAGGAACACATTTCTGATTCCTTAACAAGATTCTGATTCCTCAAGAGCAAGCCTTTTCTTTGTGCTTCTTTTTCATCCCTGACTAGGGCCAGTCTTTGGGTGACCTACAGAGCATGGTAAATGAAACGTAGTTTACCCTGGAAGGTGATGCCTTGCTCCTTGTCAATACATTACAGAGTCTCTCTAAGCCCATCAAGGTCAGACAGGAGGCCATGGGCTCCAGGGAGCCAAGAGGGAGACTGGCCAGAAGTCCCATGGGGGGCTCCTGTTGACCATGGGGAGCACAGAGTCATGGGTGTCAGGCCTGGGAAGAATCACAGGGAGAGGTCGTCTCATCCAACTCTCTCATCGTGCAGAAGAGGACACAGGCTGTGGGGGTTCGGGGCTGTCACATCACAGAGAGCAAGACCCACAGGTGGCACTGAAGCCCAATATTTAGACTCCCAGACCAGGGCAGTGGACAAGGGCTGCCTGCCCCATACGAGCGGGGCAGGCTGCCAAAAGGGCATACAAGGGCTCCCTGGACAAACTTTGGAGGGCAGGTCAACTTGCCATTGGCCTAGTGATTTACAAAAGCGCCAGAATAATTAACAGGAAGGGAGAGGTGATTAGACTAATGGGGCAGGGCAGTCAGTGCAGCTGAGAAGTCTGCAAAGCAAAGGGCTCTAAAACGTTGGTGCCACTGTACAAACACCATGGTCACCACGTGTGCAGAGGGCAGTGGTCAGGTGGCGTTCCAGCCTTGGCAAATTCCTGTCATGTCAGGATTAGGAGTAGCCTGCAGAGGGCACAGCTGGGTGCCCACATGTGAGCATCAGCCTTGCCACCAAAGTGTCCTGATGCGTTGCAATTATTCCTGGGTATAACTACTGGGAAACCAAGAGCCCCCGTTGAAGAGCCGGGCTTATTCAGAACAAAGTCAAGAAAGAGACACACATCAGCATTCTGTTCTTGCTGAAAAAAGGCACTGGGTCCAAACACAAGCGTCTATTAAAGCCAGTGATTGAGTAACCTTATAACTACGCAGCCTTCAGTCTTTCAAAAATTATGCTATACACAGGAGAAAATACAGTATTATGTTAGGCAGAAAATGTAGACTAAAAAAAAAAAGGTACTGTATACTCAGGAACTCAACTATGTAATGCAATATGCACAGGAGGGGAGTGTTCCAAAATGTTCATGAGTCTGGCTGTGATTTTTAACCTACTCTTTATTTTTTCCCCTGTAGATTCCAAATTTCTATGGTGAGCATGTATCCTTTATAAAGTGTAAAGATAATTGTTTTTATGTTTCAAGACACTGGTTCTGTGTTTATAAGGAAATATAATCTGTCAGGCCCAACCTCATTCTCTGTGGCTTTGCAACAATTATACCATTCTGCTCTCCAGAAATGTTCTCCCCTACCAAGAGGAAATCCTGCCCCAGGTGGGTCAATCCATTTACTCACATTCTGAGTATTTCTGGAGTTGGTCAAATTCCTCTGGGGTGAGGGAGACCCACCGTTCTTCACTCATCTTTAAGCTGGCTGTGAGGGCTTGAGGCCAGGGATGGAGTTCTGTTCACCAGGGTGAAGCTGAGGCCCAGCCCAGGGCCTGGCTCATTGCAGGTAGGCGATGGACCGGCCCTTCGGGAGACTCTGAGGATCCCCGGGTCTATGGCAGTGGTGGGCACCTTTCAGCAGATGTGAGCAGGCATGTGCTATTGCTGCAACAGCATGCTTCCATCCGTAGTCAAGGTCGTCAGAAATCCTGGCTCCTCCTGGGCAGAAGTAGAAAAGACATTGTGAATGGGAGTGTTCGAATTCGTAAGTCACCCTTCCTTACAAAAGAAATCCCCAACTGTTCTCTGGGGACAGGCCTATGGGAGGCAGTGGTTCTCGGGGGGGGGGGTGTCTCCCCAGGGAAGTCTGAAGAGGGCGTACAGACCAGACCAGCATAACTCCAGTTGGGTGGTCCGTCTGAATAGGTATTCGTACTCCTCCACTCAGGAAATTTTACATGTCTCACAGGAGAGGTGTAGTAGGACCACCTGAGGGCATCCTCAAGGCATGAAAACGCCTCAGGCTGTCAGATGCCTCACGAGTTAAGTAGGGACAGTACTTATCTGCTATGATTTGAAAGGTAAGCCGGTCTCTCCTCCACGGATTTCTGAATTCCACCATTACTCTGGACATTCAAATACCCGCAAGGCTGGCTAACATCCCAGTGACTGAAGTGGTTTCATACAAAGGTGATTAGAGGGAAGACCTGCCCGCCCCAGTGCAGGGGAACTTGTGGGAGGGAAAGGGGATGGATTCAGACAGAAGTTTAGCATCTTTCCCTTTGAGCCCCTCCTAGCACGGTGAGCTCTGGCAGTCAGTCATACCATCAGCCATGAAGTCCATTTAGCGGGTTGTGAAATTGACATGGTGGGCCAAGGCCAGCGTTTGAAAACACAAAATAGAATAGGATAGAGTGGAATGGCATGAAATGGAGTTGAAAATAAGAGCGCATCTCCTTTTAGTTATACATACATGTTTACTGATTATACTGTAAAAATGTATTTCTTATTCTGGATTGAGGCATAAAAAAGTGTTGGAAAGCTACCAACCTAATAGGGGGAGAAATACAGACTGATGTTACCAAAGAAGCTCAGTTTTCATAGAACAGGATCCATGTTGGAGGGTCAGACATCAAGTTAAATCTGGGAGCCTGGAGCATATGAAGGACGGTGGAGGGGCTGGATGAGACCACCCGGTGAGGAGGCAGGTTTGTGCAGCTATCTGGAAGAGCTCATGGACTTGGCTGGTGTGGACCTGGAGGGCTGGCCAGGAGCTGAGGGAAGATGCTGGAAGGAGACTCTGGCTCTGGAAGGAGGACCTTCCACCAATCAGAGCTCTCCACCAATAGGTGGGAATGCATGGCAAGGGAGTGAGATGCCTGCATCCCCAGGAGCACCCAAGTTCTAGTTGCTCTTCTTAAAACGTCCAATTCTCTCCTTAATCCACTGCCCTCCTGGATTCTGCTCCTTGGTACCTGCTCTCGCCAGGGTCCCCAGGGACACAATTTTCAAATCCAGTAGGCATTTTTCAGGCCTTCCTTATTTCATTTGCTTCTCTTTGCAGCCTCTGCCATGGCAGGAAACAGCCCCCTGGAAACAATCTTATCTTTCAGAGTGTTCCCCCTCAGTCTCCTTCCACTTCTTTGGCCATCGTTAAATACTGGTATTTCCCAAATCCCAACCTCAGCCCTCTTCTGGCTCTATACCCCTTCCCTGAGGGACCCATTGCCACAGCTTCAGTGACCCCAGGCATGCTGCCCCAACCGTTCACTCTCTCCTCAATCCAGATCCGAATATCCAACTATCCACTGTGACTCCTCTGTGTATCCCAGACCACCCCAGATCAGCCCGTTCCCATGTCCCCAACCTGCCCCTCCTCTACATTCTGGTCGCGCCCGGAGAGGAGCAAGGACACAGGCCAGAAGCCCAAGGCTCAGCCTCAGCTCTTTCCCCTTCCTCTCCTGCCAAACCCAGGCACCACTTTCCAGAGTGACCGTCTGTTGTGTGTCCCCTCCTCTCTGTCATGCCAGCTTCATCAACTCAGACCCTCATTGTCTCACTCCCAGTCTCTACCAACAGCCTCCCGATGGGCTCTCTGCCTTGGCTTTTACTCTCCTGCCCTGGGTCTGCTTTAAATGGCCAACCAGTTCATATCTCTCCCAGTAATAAAATTCTTCAGTGGTTTTCTATTGCCTATGGAATAAAACATAATCATCCTTTTATGATCTGTCCTCTGATGATCAATTCAGTCCAAAAGTGAGGGGTGACCTTTAGAAACATTTTCCATCAAACCAGGGAATTCAACATCACCACTGGTATTACTAAGGCTGTGGCTGTCATTTAGAGGACACTTACTTTACCCTATATGCTTTACAGAGTTTAGCCCATTTGTCCTCCTAAAGACCGTGTACATTCAGCATTGCTTTTGCTATTTTTAGATGAGGAAGATGAGGCAAGGTGTTCAGTAAATATGGTGCAGAAAAAGAAGGAACCTCCAAGCTTTTGTTTAAGAATGCCTCTCTGGCCGTATCATTCTGCACACTTCAATAAACACAGAGCTAGGTCTGAGGTGACCGAGAGATGCATTGCCTGAGAGAATACCATGGAACTCCCAAGTCAGAAGACAGGGGCTTTGAATCCTGCTCTACCTCCTATTTGCTATTTGACGTTAGACAAATTTTGTGTTTCTTGACCCTTGGTTTTCACCTCAAAAATGGGAATACTAATAAAAATCTCACCGAGCTAATGCTAGGAGTGAGTTAATATATGCAAAAGCCAAACAGAGAATCAAAACCTCACCTAACATAATGCCTAACACGCAGTGGGCACTCAATAAGCAATTACCATTATCTTCCTAACTGCAAATTCAACACTTAGCAATATGACTTAAGCAATCAGCTGACAGCTGTCGGGTGCAAAGACTTTGTGTTATGCCATAGATTTCTGAACTTGATCTTCTCCTGCTCCAAGTTGTTTTAATTTTGTAATTACTCATCAAATTGTTATCCACGAGTTTTAGCATCCACTGATGATTCTTGCCTGGATTAATTATTTTATTATTTTATTTATTTATTTTTTAGAGAGAGGGAGAGTGTGCGAGTGGGGGATGGTAGAGAGGGAGAGAGAGAATCTTAAGCAGGCTCCACACCCAGTGCAGAGTCCAGCACAGGGCTCGATCCCACGACCCTGAGATCATGACCTGCGCCAAAATCAGGAGTTGGATGCTTAATCAAATGAGCCACCTAGGCGCCCCTGGATTAATTATTATTATGATAGAGAACTTCTAATTCTATCACTCCCTCTATATTTATTAGTTTGGATTCTACTGTAAGGAAGAGCTTTCTCTTTATTTCTTTACATCAGTTTCCTTATGTATATTTTTTATACTATGAATGCTATAAATATATAAAATATAAATATCATATATAAATATCTATATAAATAAGTATGAATGTATGTTATGTTTACATATAATATGCATATTCATTTATATTAATGGATTCTTATTTTATTCAGAGGGATATAATCCATCACTATCATTATTTGTTTTGATTCGAATTGTCCCAGATTTGGCCAGTGGAAGCTCATTCAAGTTGATTTCTTGTTCTTCAGACATCTTCCCATCATTCTTTGAGTACATCTTTATTTTCTAGTACAACAAAATGTCTCAGTCTCACCCTGTACTTCCTCAGTTGTCCTGAAATCAGTCATTTCTCCAAAGCACAGATTCCTTTTAGTGGAGAATAGTATTTGAAACCAAGCTTTGGGCACTAGGTATGCGCATCGCTACTGGGGTGTCATAGCTTCTAGACTTTATCAGGGCCAGGGCCAGGAAACCCACGCAGGTATACACACACATCACATTTCTAGCTGGCTGGCTGGCTGTCCATCCATCCATTCATGTTAAAAACCCCAAGTTCATACTCAGACCTCCAACTATAGTCCAGTATTACAATGTCGACTGTAGACTTCCCCTCATTCCATATTTTTAAGCTCCGTTCTCCAACAAACTTCATTTCCATTATCTACAATATATTTATTTGCCCAATCCTTAAATACACAGAAAGAAGTTTCAAAATTGCTAGCTACAACTCTGTGAAAAACAAAAAAGAGTTCCAGATTTGTTGACAGTTCTTTTGTCTTCGCCAACAAAGCATGTCCCCAAAGTCCTATTTTCAAAAGTTACTTAGATTAGTTCTTTCACACTCCTATTCATTTCTGTTTGTATTTCACTCTAGGGTTTCTCCCTCCATTCCCAATGATTCTTTTTTTAATATGGTTTCTTCAGAGAGGCCTGGCTGCCCCCATTCCTTTTACTCTGTGCTCATCCCTCTCCTTTCCATCTTATTCCCACTCACCCCTTCTAGTTTCTAGTTTATCCTTCCTGTTTATTTTTGCACCAGTGAGCAGATTATTGGATATTATTTTTATTTCCCCTTCTTTATTACACAAAATGCAGTCTTTTGCATATTGTTTTTTTCACTTAACAATATATCCCATGAATCATTCCGTATCTGTTCATAGAGATTTTCTTCAGCTAAAACCAAATTAGACCCCAACACTTGCTTGAAAACCTTCAGTGGCTTCTCCTGGACTCTTTTGGGCAGGTTTTTTAGCCAGTCCAGAAAATCCTTTACCTGTGGTTCAACTCACCTCCCCATCTTCACTCCAATTATCTCTTGCCCCACATGCTCCACGTTCCAGCCAAATCATCTTACTGTCTCTCCCTAGCACCAAGCCAAGCACCCAGCACATGACAGCACCTCATAAACATCAGTTAGTGGACTGACAAACACACCATGCCTTTGATCGACCTGGAATGTCCCTCGCTCTTTCCTTCCCATAACAAACCACTATTCATATCTGGTTCTAGATTAAAAGGTCACTTCTCTTCTATAGTTTTTTAACTCTTTGAGCAAACTAAGCTGTTCTCCCAGCTGTTCCCATAGAACACACAGGTCCTCTATGCTTCCCTACTGTGGTGGCGGACAGTCCTGTGTAGGAGACAAACACCCCAACCGGTAATTAACACACAGGATGGGAAGTGTGGTGGTACAGGGAACGAGGAGGCCATCTTGTAGTGGGCACAGGGGCATGGAAAGACTCCTGAAGGAGCTGAGGAGGAGTAACAAGGTAAAGAGGTATACTCTGCAATAATACAACAAATACTCATTATCATCATTGTTGCATGACAGCTCAGTGCTTGGCTTCAGGGTGGA